CTGTAACAGCCACACTGTTAACACCAGTGACCGTGTAGCATTATGGCAAGTCAGTTCTTGGAACAGAAGATCCTGACCATCTGGCTGTGCGCATGAAGTGTCTGCCCAGAATCCTACCAGTCCAGAGCAATAAGAATTACCAATATGCCTATTTCTCAATTAAGCAAAGCATGTGAGGAAGAGGTTCCAGGAGAAATAGGCATATCAATTTAGGGTGTACTGATCCCACAATGCCACCAAAGCATCCACTGCTTCTGCTAGACAATCCCTGTACCTGAAAACAAACTGTCAATTTTGTAGTTGAACCTGGAAGCCAATAGGTAGGTCCACATCCAGTTTCCCCAACTTGCAACATGGACCCTGGAAGACCTGCAAATGAAGGGACCACTACCACAGATCCAGGTGCTGCTGGCTAAAGGAAGTCTGTCTGCCAATTTTCTACACCTAGCTGTACATAGCTGACAAGGCTGAAATGGTTTTAACCTCCCTAGCGGTCTGATTATGTCAATATTTCTGTGCTCAAAGTGGTACCTTGTTTTCAATGGAAATACTTTTTTTTATTGTAGGCCTGTAATTCTTAGGAATAACTCACTGAAATCTGTCCAAACAAGAGTCTAGTAAACATCCCGGGTATGTTAAAATTTGAAACACGAAATCATAAATTATAATATAATAATCATAAAAAATAATAACATAATAAATTTAATTCAATAATATAATCAAAGCAGAAACACTGAAATTTGAAATAGAGCGCCAAGTTCGCACATCATTGAGCTCAGCCGAAAAATAGCTTTCAGTGTCTGATGACGAATTTCCCCACAAATCATTATCACTCAATTCTTCAAGTGGTTCTAATTTATGGTCGCTGTTCTCTAGCTGGTCTAAAACCGCTTTTGACCTAAAGGGACGCTTTTTGGACACCATGGATGTTTCTCAGTTTCCAGGCAGAAAGAACAGTAAAAATGCAGGCAGGGCACAGGACAAAGCATTAGGGACAAAATGTACTGTAAGTGAAATGGTTTGATACAGTAATGTTATACTATGAGATTTTTAGTGTATTTAGTGAATGTCACATTTTAACATTTTTGAATTTCCCATCGGTTCCGTCCCCCGTATGTCCCGACGCTCGCAGGAACGGAACCCGGAAGACAGATGCCGGCATTGGCCAGCGGAGATGGCTAGGGACACTGCAGGGGGGACAGAGTGGGAGCGCAGGACAAGGTAAGTGCTGGAGGGAATCCCTGAGCAACACTGCAGGGTAATCCCGAGTGTAGCTCAGGGTTACTGCTTTTGGCACTGAAAGTTAACCGCGAGCTACACTCGGGAATACCGCACGGGAGGTTAACCAAGGCAAAATCCGCTCTACTTCTTTTTGTATAGGGAGACTTCGGATTCCTCTGTAAATGTCAATGTATACCACCCCTATTGTGTTATCCAACTAGATTCAGGTCAAAAGACCCTGCAGTCAGAATGGTCCAACACTGTAGACACAAACTGGCCAAACTGCCAGAATTTCCAAAATGCTGATTGGGAGACAAAACAACCAAGTCCCCTGCCCTGACAGGTTGTCCAGCACGACTCCCCAGCCCGACAGACTGACATCCGTCACAAGGATCCTTCAAAAGATGAGAATGAAGAACTTTCCCAACTCCAGAGCCAGATTCCCGAGCCACCAAACTATGTAAAACCAGATTCCCAGCAGAACAACAGATCTATCAGTCCAGAGATTGGATTGACTTGTCCCATGAGCAAAGAATGCTGCATTGCAGAAGTTGGGAGTAAACCAGGGCAAATTAACATTTCTGGAAGGGAGCTACCAACAGGCCCTGGACTTTCCAGTCCAGGAATTGTACAACTAGCTTCTTTTGTATGCGAGTTTGACCCTGAGATCAGATAGTCTGAAGTTTCTCTTGTGAAAGGAACACTTGTCGCCTGGGCTTTGTCTACGACACACACACATATGCTGAGTCTGTTCCAGCACCAAACACCAAAGGTTTATGATCCACCTGAATCACTGTAAGATCTAGATACTGGTAGACACTTTGACCTTCTGTAAAAGTAAGTCAGCAAGAGCTCTGTTGACAAAATATCCAACAATAGGGATGCCCCAAGAGCGCAGCATTGCGAATATCAGGGCCAGCACCTTATTGAAGGCAGACAAGAGGCCAAAACGACAAAGTCATGAACTGGTGGAGTCCCACAGCAAAGCATAGGAATGGCTGATGCTCTGGACAGATGGGGACATAAAGGTAAGGATCCTTGATGTTCAAAGAAGCCAGAAAGATTCTCTGGTAAAAGAGAGGTGATGACAGATTTAGTGGAATCAGCAGAATTTCTGGACCTACTTAAAGACATGCAGAGCTTTAAAACCCAACACAGAGCAGATGCCCCCTTTTTGGTTTTGCTGTGAACAGGTTGGAGTAAAACACCTGAAACCTATCATAGAAACCTTGATCCATAAGACCCAACAGACTTATAAGTAGATCTACTCATTTGTATGATAACAGGGCAGGTGCTGAAATTCCAGTTTGTAACCTGAAACCTCCTGCACACAAGCATCTAGGGATGCAAACTGTTCAAGTATCCACAAAGGTTAACAAATGTCCCCTCACTCTAGAAAGGAGAGATGCACCTTTATTCCAAATAAGACTTGTCTAAGGATTTGGCAGACTGAGTGGCAGTCCTTGCAGGTGAACTGGGAGCCAAGCTTAAAGGATCTCAATGTAGAGGTTGATGGAGTGAAGAAATTAAAGAGTCCTTACCTAACAGAGAGGAAGAAGACTTTGCAGTTTATCCCTTGGGCTTCTTCCACTGAAGTAGCATGCTTTTATAATATTATTGATGTGGTCCCAAGAGTTGCTATCCCTTGGAGGCCATGCAGATCATTTTTTTTTTTTCCATGTGGGAAATGAGAAAAAAGACTTCCAGCAAACAGTCACAGCTTTAATGCTAAAGCCATCTGCTCCACCTGTTCAAGAAACAAGGGATTAACCACAGCAGCAGTTAGATCTATTTTAAAGGATTTTGATCAATCCGACATGGTTTAACAAAGTATAGTCACAGTCAGGTTCAGGTGAAGGGTAGGAAAGAAAATGGAGCTCTAGAAAGAGCATACAATTGCTTATCAGGTGGGTCCTTGAAGACAGGCACGTCCTCTCCTGGAATATAGCATCTTGTTAAGCTGGGACACAGCTGGATCCATAGTAGGAGTGTACCACTTCTGTACAAAATCCCCACCAAAACTGATACAAGGCTAATAAGTGCTCGGAGGAGCAAATAACTTACCCGTGTGCTTCCAATCTCCATTAGAGAAATAGATGGAAAAGCAGGTGCAAAGGGAAAGTCTTTGTGGTCTTAGGAGTTTTAAATGCCTTAAAACTGGAGACAACACTGATAAAAGCAACCAGCGGACCCCCTAGAGTGGTGTGCACTGCATCAATAAGAGCTGAAACAGTTTCCTTTAATTTGCAATAGCAATAGATTGAGTGAGACTTCAGAGACAGGGCATGCTCTAAGGCAATGCCAGCAGCTTTAAACCTAGAAAGCATTCTGCAGCTTACTTTTTTACTAGAATGGAGTCTGGAAAGCATCCCACATAGAACCCAATACCAAAAGGTTACTCTTAGCTTATCCCTGCAACATCCAGTCCATCTGACACACACACTACTCCAAAAACCAACCTGAGGACAACCATTTTGTATACCTGCAAAGAGAAAGCACCAGCAGTGATGTAGAGAAACATTTTGATTTAAAAAAAAAAAAAAAAGTCAAAGAAGACAGTAGTGCTAGCAAAAAATAGGTTAGCCTTTCATACAGCAGATCTGAAGATGATGTCCACCCTCCGAGGACACTAGCAAATAAAATTGGTAGCAGGAGGGGGATTTCCTGGTCTGGTCTACAGTTTAGTTTGTCAGTGGTCTGTCCCCCTGTAGGCGACCTGAGGGTTTAAGAGTTCCTGTGTCCCTCAATGGATGAAAAAAACAAATCTCCATATAATTACTCTTCCCTTCTAACATTACTTCAGAACCCTTTCTGTTCAGTTAGGTGCCCTAAGCAGTAGTACTATATTTTCTGCCAAAAGGAAAAAGACAGAGGTGGCAAGCAGGTGGCTCTGCCGGGTCACTGATCCTCACCTTCAGAAGAGACATTTGGGATGATTTACTAAAGGAGCTGAGAATCTGCATTTAAAAATTGTGAATATTACCTTCAATTCCTATTCACTCTGAATATCATATCCAGCTGCTTTTCATATGATTGAATAAGTGAAGTGAACAGCTAGAAAATGTTTGGGTGAATAAATCATCCTCAACGCCTAAGCAGCAATTTTTATAACTGACACGAGATCTAATGTGAAATTACAAGAAGAAAAAATAGTTTTTAGCTTTGCATACTTTCACTTAAGTGATTAAAAGAAGACACTTTACATTAAAAGTGGAGTTCCACCCACGAGTGGAAGCACTGCTTGTTTGCCTCCTGCCCCTCTCCACTGCCATATTTGACACCTTTTGGGGGGGAGATACCCGCTTTTGACAGGTACCCCACTCACACTTCTGGTTCACTTTGCCATGTAAAAGCGAGCTGGAAGTTTGACCCTCCTCCTTCCTCCCGCAGTCTCCCGGTAACCTTCGTAGGTCCAAGAAGACTGCCGGACCATTCAGAATGCGTAGCATGACTCGCGCATGCACAGTGGGCTCCCGGTTGTGAAGCCGCAAGCTGTCACAGCCTGGTACCTACAGTTGTGATGCCAGCGCCAGGGAGAGGAGAGAAGGGATGGCACAGGTGAGCAAATCGCTGGACCCTGGGACAGGTAAGTGCGTGTGTTTATTAAAAGTCAGCAGCTACAGTTTTTGCAGCTGCAGACTTTTAATAAACACAAAATGGCTGGAACTCCACTTTTTACGGTCTGCTTTTGCCTTCATTGTAGGGACTGCATGGAACTCCATTTTAAAACATTGTGATTCATAACTCAAATAGTGGATTAAACCAATTTTTTTTTTCAGAACCGAATGCATGAATCCCTTCATTTGTTCAACAGCATTTGCAATCACAAGTTCTTTGCTGCAACTTCAATAGTCCTTTTCCTGAACAAGAAGGATCTTTTTGAGCAGAAGATCAAAAAAGTTCATTTAAGTATCTGCTTCCCGGATTATGATGGTAGGAGATTATTGCACATAATAGACAAATTCTGTTCACTTGCAATATAAATATGAATACTTTGTAACTCAATTATTACTTTCTCATAGGTAATAACTCATATGAAGATGCAGGAAATTATATTAAACTACAGTTTCTTGATTTAAACATGCGGAAAGATGTCAAGGAGGTCTATGGTCACATGACCTGTGCCACAGACACTCAAAACGTTAAATTTGTGTTCGATGCGGTAACTGATATCATCATCAAAGAGACACTGAAAGATTGTGGACTGTTTTAAAGTGCATGGCAAACAAATCCTTGATTCATTTTACAAAGACCTTATTTTTACACTTCCAGCTTATGTTCCTTCCCTGAAAGGTCTGGAACAACAAGGTTAAGGAGGGGAGAAGGGTGTTTTTCAGTCGCAGTCTTTTTTGAGATTTTTGAGTAAGTGCTGACATTAATATATTTAATATCTGGTAGTTGAAAGGTTTCCCTATAGACAGGCAAGATGTTACTCCTAGCAACACTACATCGCCTAGATGATAAATTATTGTAGTTATTTCCTGTGTTCATAGTGCATTGACATATTATACAGCACTTTACTAACTACTTACAAACACTGACATCAGGCCATGGTTGCCAAGAAGAGACGACAGTGTAAAGTCCCTCCACCTAGATTATTACACAGAAACACTACTGCAGCAGTTGATTAGACACCAATTAGCCCTACTAGCTTTTTTTTGTAGTTGTGGTAGAAACCCACAAACAAATAAAAAAGCAATTCAACTCTATATAGATATAGTTCAGATATAGTCAAATCCAGCACCGTAGGGTTGCAAAGCAACTACTTACCAATTAATCACTTATGGGGCTGATCATTACATTATTAAATATCCTTTCTCAGGCAGGTCATATTGACTGACTAAAGAACACCTGCTCTTACCACAAGAAACAAATTGGACCTTTTTTAGGGGATTCTTCTGATTTTTATTAGCAGAAATCATGATAAGCTAATGTAGCCTAAGCAAAGACAAATTTCAAATAATTCTCTAATCGCCCTGCAGTTTTGCAGAGATGTGTACAGCGTTTTGAAGCTGAGCTCCAGGCAAAGAAATACTCAGAATCAATACATATGTGAAAGCTTTGTTATCTAGCGAAGGATGTGTGATGCTGCCCATCCAATCCTGTGGTTTACATTGCCTTGCTAAAGACTAGTAACCTTACTTTTCTATACTGCAGTCAAGCATTACAGCTAGGCTACTTCCAGGCACCCAGACTATGACTGGATGACAAAGACGCAAAAGTAGACTAATGAGGTCATCCCTCTGGTTACTCTACCCTCTTCTGTCAGCATTTTCCTTGCCTGCACATCTATAAACAAGAGATGCTTGTTGGCTCAGAGTAACAACCTTCTTCTAAAGAGTTCTTTAGTACTGGTGTAACGTCAAATTCCTATAGTTACACTATATGCATCTAAAATACACAGGATTGATTTTTAATATCATAACTGTATCCATTATTTTTGTTTATATTTGCCTGGAGTTCATCTTTAATTTACATTTGCAGCCTAACTGAAGTTTCACAATCTCCATTCCTCTACGGCACATTCTGCCTGTTACGGTTTGTAAGGCTTTCCAACAGAACAAACCACTCTAGGGATAGGCAGCACACTCGCTGAGTGATAGAAATCTCTAAGGTCTTATTTGCAACTATCTGTAGGTGTAGAGGGTTTTTTTTTTTTTTTTTTTTTTCCTATCGTTGGGCAGATGTGTTCTCACTCATCATGGACACACGTTTCCAATATGTTGAATTTATCCATTTTCATTCTTGGGCCTCAAAAAACTGACACGTATTTTTCAAAATGCACTGCAGCGCTGAGATGAGAACACTGTTTATATTGGGGAACTTGGACTCATGCATTTTAGCACATTGTAAAGCATATAAATACAAGTGTAAGGGAGGAGCGATTGCTCATTTTAGGACAGCAATGGGTCACCGTCTTAAAAATATTTTTGCAGTGTAGGTCTTCATCAGGTTCCTCAAACTAACAAATCTAGATGAGATAAGCCACTGTTGCTTTGTAAATATGTCACACTCTTCTAAAATCATATGTAAAGTAAGATGCAAAATGCAAGGTAGAAGAGACAAAATAAAAGAACAGCAACATTTTTATTCAGGGTTGGGTGCTTGTCAAGTAATCTAAATGCTGTAGAAGACTAATAAAGAAAGATGAAAATACAGATTGCATGTCTTACCAATTTAATACTGTATACAAATAAGTGCAAAGCAACAGAAGAGTGTGTGTGTATATCTGTCATACGAAACAAAAAATGCAGTATAAAAACGTTGAATGTCAGATGTGTACAGTGTAGGTAGCACAAGCTGGTCTGTACACAGGAGATATTAAAGGCAAACCTTAAACACTGACTTGAAGCTTTGGCACCAGAGGAGTAGGAGGACATTTCGTAAAGAGGACTCGGTAATGAACATGGCAGTTAGGTGCATTGTCAGCTGACAAAGTAAACCTATCATTAGATAAATATTGTGACTGCCATTGCTGACTTCTTGTTGAAAATGCTAGCTGACTGTGAAAACCCCGACCCTTAGTTTTGAGGCAGTGAAAAACAAGATGACCGATGTCACGATAAATGAGAAACTTATTGCTTTCTTGACGGAATCAAAATTTACTCAAGTCTGGCAACCCTGGATCTCCTGTTATCAGCCACTGTCTTTCAACCAGTCACTTTTATCCACCCAACGTTGCAAGAGCTTGTGTCCACTGGGATTCCCTGACCCTCCTTCCCTCCCTTTCACTTCATTTCCGATTTACTTCCTTTCCCTTTTTAATACTCTGCATTCCTCAGCATTTTCTGGCCTTAGGTCTTCCAATTTTCTTGCTTCCTTTCCCCCTTGCATGGTTATGATGCTGTATTTGTTCTTTACAACTGCCTTTGCTAGGAATGGTTTATTCTCCTTAAAAAATATGCAAATCAGTAGTCATAGAAAAGTCGGAAGTCCTTAACTGTATGTTTGTTCATGGTCATATACTTAAAATACTGAAAGCAAGAGGGGCAGCATGGCAGCCAAGCATAGAGCCTTTTTAAAAGGTAAGGTCAGCAATGGCAGCCTCCTTGTTTCCATCAGGGCAAAGCAAATAATTGGGAAAAACAAATATAAAGATTACCGAATCCTGAATAATAGGCACAAGGACCCAGAATGTGCTGTAGTACATAGCTTCCACAATTGAAAGCCAAACATTCCCTAAAAAATAGGCATCTTCGGCTTCCTGCATGTTGGCTTTACTCTCCTGAAGTGCACCCAGACACCTAGGTCACGTTACAATACTATTGCTGTCTGGCTTCCTTGGTCACGGCTTGACCCTCCTCGTCTGCTTCAAGTCCACGACTACTGGACTCCGTGATGATAGTGAACACTACTACTGGCCTCAGTAGTAGTGCTACTAACAAAGTGCTGCTGACCTTAGCTACTAATTAGTAGCAAAGTGGAGGATATGAGGAGGCAGTTACCTACAGGTAGATCGTCAAAAATTGCATTACAGAGTGGCCGTGGTTTAAGGGTCCCAGGCAATCTGCAAGGATGTGAAGCAAGAATTGGAAGAGCCATAGAAACATATTAATCAAGAAAAGTAAGGCTTTTTAACTTTTTGGCACAAACTCACCCTAAAAAAATGAAAATACATTTTATAGTAAGACTCCTTGTCAAGTAGTTATAGACAACCTTATCTAATTGAATGGAGAGAACATTTGCATCCGGTAAAGTAGTTACAGCAGGACATTCAACATTCAGCTGAAGAGTGGTTTATACATAAAATAGCACAAAATGGTTAGATTTGGTGAGGCTAAGGAAGATTGACCTCCACCTCTCTCAACAATGAAAGGTACATACATCTTATTTTAAAAAAAAAAAAAAAAGGTTCTTGAAGGAACAGTTATATTAAACACTGGGAATGTTAAGTGTCGCAAAAAAGAAATATAGCATTACATGCTTTAGAAAGTCAATGTCCCAAAGGTCACTGTCGGATAACACTGCTGTTTCTTCAAATAAAGAACTTAAGAAGGGTCCTCTTGCTCACAATATGCATAAGTCACGTCTTTTCCATTGTATGCAGTTCTTGAGATATTGAGAGACTGGAAATGTTAAAACAACATTGCGTGGATCACATAGCCAGGTCATTGGGACTCACATCAGGACATCTGCATATACAATAAGATGTGGTGGTGGGTTCTCTGGAAGGTCAGGAATGACTTGTGCATAGGGTGACACCACCCCCTGTAAACCAGGCGCCCAAAGCAGTCAACTCTACCTACAAGCTGGACAGAAACAAGAAGAGAAAACATCACAATTTCAATAAGATGATTAAATTGAATGCTCCTAACTTTATAAGCAACTCACTAAGTGGGGGTTGAAAAGCTGGGTAAGTATACGGAGTTCATATATTGCACCAATTCATCTAATGTTCTAGTTCAAGTAGTACCAGGTCACAATAACTATTTTTGTGTCTTCAATAGAGCTTTAAATCTGTTGATCTGTGAAACATGCACAACATTCAATCCTTTTTAATCATTCCAGATTAAAAGAAACATATAGTGAACACATATTCAAGCTTTCATTGCTGATCTCTCTTCCTGAAAATGTTAATTGCCTGGCTGTTCTACAATGGCTCAGTGCTTTAAGCGCTAAATCAGCAGTTTTTAATCTGCAAGCTTGTTCCAGGTTGGTGACTTAGAAGCCTGGTTGGCTCAAGTTTTAATACTTTCAGCTATGGCAGTCACTGACAGCAGAACACAATAGCACAGCGGGAGGAATTCAATCATTAGATGTGGTGGTTGCATCAGTTTTCTTTTCTTTGGCATTTCCCACTGTTTTCACCTGATGATCTGGCCAATAACACACCTGTATTAGTGAGACACCACTGTGGACGAATAAGTTAGGACACAGCATTGTCAGTCTGGGGGGAACGGTAGTGTTAAATGTATTAGCAGATTTGAATACAAATAACAAACTTAAGACAAACTCCAGCTCACACTTTATATTCAGTTACAGCAAAAGAATTTTTTTTTTTTCTTTTTGGTATAAAGGTTTTACATGAATAAATAAAAAGTAACAAATGTACAGCACCACTTAAATATTATAACTGTGTAAATAATAATCTATTCCATAAATGTGTACCAAGTATAGTTAAACTCAGTCCATGTAACATCAAAACCGGTGAGCAACTTGAAAGAAACACCACCTTTGACAGAAGTGCAAACTCTTCATGCAATGTGTTCAGAA